TACATGCTTGTAATTTTGGATGCTACCAAAAAGTAAATCTCAAAATAGCAACAGATTTTAAGCTTTTGCATGTAACAGGCTTTGAGTTTGACAGATTTTATTGTACAAATTAGGAAAGAAATGAAAATACACACAAGAAATTTGAATAAATGTTTTCTCTAGGCTTACTGCAACAGGGTGAAAAAGTGTCATGCAAACCCGTACATATTTATTCAAAAAGAAGGCCACAATGCCCTTGATTGCATAGTACAACTCCCACTGCAAATTTGTTTTTTTATAATACTGTATGTTTGTCTGACTCGGTATACAAAATGTTATATCACAAACAAAGGCTGTTGTTTATAAATGTCAAGCCTGCCAAAACATCCTAGACTGGTCTGCTCTAGCCCTGCCCAGTGATGAAATATTCCCATTTAACTTCAACAAAGAAGTCAAATCTACGTAAACAAGTGGATGATTTAGTTTATAATTTTATGCTGAATTTAAATTAAGATCTACTAGGCATATGTTTTTCAGGGTGGATATTGTATTAGAGAAGCTATAAGATTTTTAAAATTCATCTGCAAAACTACCCATTCATGGAGGAGGTAGTACAGTTCTCACAAAAAGTACTGTGTGTTGAGTTCTCAAAAAACACTCATTTACTACTTCAGTCATCTGAATTTTTTCCTAGAAATGCCAGTGCTCACTTGCTCTTCACAGCAGTTACAAAGTCCAGCCACAACACGGTGAAGATGGGATTGCATTAACTCTGCAGGACACCAGAGTGCAGAAAGTGACAATAAATTATTTAATCCTTTGTCACTACTCTGGAATGAATTAATGTAATCAGAACAGAACAAGGGGATAATTCCATCCAACCGCAGACTCTGCTGCCATGGACTCTGAGCATTAAGAGAGAAATTTTAAAGCCTCATGTGTGGCCCACAGCTGAACACCTTCTTCAGTGTCTGTACAAAAGCCAGTGCGTAGACTCAGGAACCTATGGCACTGCCACACCTACAAAGGTCATCAATCTCACACCATTCCCTGGCATTAGAAAGTTGGAGCAAAATGGTTTCTAAAGAAATTGCTTAAATGTCTGTCCAAACTCTGGTTAAACAATTATAAACCCTAAAATCAGTTATCGGAGCAATGTCTTCCAGGATTAGGGATAGAGACTAGGAAAAGTCGATTCTGAGTGGCTAGCATAATCTCAGATTTTGTATGGTAACCAAACAACTCTATATTTAAGATTCAATGTGGCTTAACATATGCCTATCCAGTGTTTTTACATTTATTACATCAGATACTGAAGAATGATGACTTTCTTTTATACTGGATTTTTGCTCATTATATAGGTAAAGCTAGGAATATATGTCAATATAATTTTAAATACCATAATGGATATTTCCGTGTACGACACTGCTTTATTACAAACAAGTGTAACCAAATTATAAGAGACTTTTAGTATAAATTAACATATCAGCTTCCAAGTTAACTATGGATATGTCTACTAGAGCATTATAGTTCTTAACAACAGTGCGTTGTGAAGGCAAATATACCCACTTACTGTGCTTTAATTCTCTTCATGGTGCAATCTTACTGCACACAAACTTCGTATGCCTTTTCAAGACACCTTTCCAATGAAACTAAACTGGAAGATGCACTCCATAAGTGCACAAAATATGTTTTAGCTGCTAATGGGCTGCAAGAGCCTCAACTGAGTGGGCTGTACCCCGTTAAGACCTTCAGTAAACAGCAAGCGCAAAGGTAGCAGCAGAAAGCTGTCAGTATGCAGTTTATGCCACACTTTTTATGCGCGTAAAGGGCCAGGTATCACCTGTTTCACAGTGGCTCTTTACAGTCAGCCTTTACAGTCAGTTCTTGACATCTTGTTCCTTCCTCATCCCTGCAAATGGTGGTATTTTCCATGTCTTCTTTATCTCGGAATTGTCAACAGGGTGCCACATGGGAAACTATGGGGAATACAGGAAAGTACACTATTTATAGTGGTCAGAGAGCTTGCGGTACCAGGAGGATACCAAACTGATGGCTTGCCAGTGATTGTCCCATCAGCCTCTGGTGAGAGGACCAGACAGGGTAAAATATTATTTAAAAAGATGAAAGAATATCTATGTGTAAAAGTTACAAACTTGTCTTCATGAGAACCCAGGACTTTCAGAGCAGCATGGCAGTACTACCCACATAAGAGAGGGCCTAAGCAACGAAGAGACAGGCGCACTACTGAGCTTCCTGCACAAGGCATTGTGGCCATCTGTTCCCACCCCCAAGGTCAACCATGCAGACTGCACTGGTAGCTAAGTCAGGCTTAACAAAGGACTCTCAGTTTCTCAACTATCTGGTACAGATTTATAGAGATTTATAGAGGAACTCTCGCACTGAATGAATGGAAAGGACACGTGACCAGCAGGTTGAGGGAGGTGATTCTCCCTTTTTACTCTGCTCTGGTGAGAACCCACCTGGAGTGACACACCCAGCTCTGGAGTCCTCAGCACAGTAAAAACACAGACCTATTGAAGCGGGTCCAAAGAAGGGCCACAAAGATGATGAGGGTTGGAACACCTCTCCTATGAAGAAAGGCTGAGAGTTGGGGTTGTTCAGCTTGGAGAAGGTTCCAGAGAGAAGTTATTGTAGCCTTTCAATACTTAAAAGTGAGTTTATAAGAAAGATGGGAAGAGATTTCTTAGCAGGTGCTGTTGCAACAGGACAAGAGGTGATGGTTTTAAACTAAAGGAGGGTAGATTCAGACTGGATATAAATAAGAAATCTTTTACGACGAGGGTGGCAAAGCACTGGAACAGGTTACCCAGAGAGGTGGCAGATGACCCATCCCTGGAAACATTCAAGGGCAGGTTAGACAGGTTCCTGAGCAACCTGACCTTGTTGATATCTCTGCTCATTGCAGGGGGGTTGGACTAGATGACATTTAAAGGTCACTTCCAACCCAAACTATTCTATGATTCTATGACCTTGTATTTATAGGTAGAGATGCTGGCATAGACTAAAACATTTTGCAAATATACTGACTCAAGGGAAGAATACAGATACTTATACATATATATTTTAAATTTCTGCCAAGGCCTGATTTAGGTTTGCTTTTTTCCCCACACGGACATAAAATCCCATGATGAGAACACAAACCAACAGCCCAGTGTTTTTATCCTTCAACTTTATGACATTTGTATCTTACCCTATTCATTCTGCCAAGCAAATAAGCATGGTAGTGACAACCGACACTACAGAAAAGACAGTGCAGTATCAAGAAGTAAAAAAAATTAAGATCAACACTTTCTCTAGCAATGTCACTAAAGCTTTACCATGGAATCGAGTCACATTGCTCTGGCAATGATTTTCTGGCAAAACTACCTGGTGTCCAACACCCTTATCCTCTACATCGTTCATGTGAAATATAAAACTATAAGAAAATACAAATTCTCAAACCTTTCAACATGTTACTAGCTAACTGTAACTACCCACATTTGCTGGACAGAATAAAAGATGTGTATCAAAATACCTTTTACCTTTAAATGGACTGCTTAAATACATTGCTATGTATTATTATTACAATAGATTGTTTACAGTTGTACCTTATCTTAGTGCTTCTGATTGACAAGGCTACTATTGCAAATAAGTGTGATCTATTAAAACAACACACAGACATCACTGACGTTGAAGACTGCAGTAGAGCAGTTACTAGTTTAGCTTCTCAGGAAGATCAGGTTTCACAGTAGGAAGTAGTAAGACTTCAGCTGTAGAAGTGCAGTTTTATTAATTCAAGATTGCTCTGTCATAGACTTAGAGCTCCATCAGTTAAGGCTTTATTTTTATATACTTACAGATTTTCCAGGGTTTTTTGGTAAATGGTTATTATGGCTGTGATGGTTATATGGAGCCCTGAAAATCACAGTGAACTATAACCAATGTTTTGCAAACACTTCTGTGGTATGTAAGAGCAATTTAAGGCAATCTGGCCCTGCAGAGACAGGTGTAGTAGAGTGCTTGTAGGGTATGTGAGGCTAACGTCAGGTACGTAGAGTTACAGGTATGCGAAAGGTGTTGAAACTGTTAAACCATGTGCTGGTAACAGAACATGTGAGGATACAGACCAGCACACAGGATGCAGTCATGAGGAAATTAGGTGGTTTACATACATTACAGGCAAGCATTACTAGCTATAACAACAGCAGCTGTGTAAAGAGCTGTGGAGACACTTCGCAGGTTAGTAAAGAGCTGCAGATGAGGGTATACTGGCACTACAGAGACACTGTCATGGCCATTGGAGCTCCAGGCATACATCCAGAAAGCCACCTGCACCGCCACGTCACTCGTCCCCCAGAAACACATCTAGAATGAACAGACATCAAATGCCACAAGAGAGCAGCCGCTTTTCACAGCTGCGTGTCAGCACCGCACCTCGGCCCCGCTACCCGCACAGGGTCGAGGGGACTGAGGCCCATTGGCACGGCACAGCCAAGGGGACCCAAGCAAGCCACCAGGCGCCCCAGTGCCTTGGCTCGGCCACAGTGTGGCTTTGTGCCTCCTCACCGGAATATCGCAGGCGGACAGGGCCATCGCGGAGCCTCACGGCTGCGTGCCCGGGTGCAGCCGCTCCTCCCGCCTTAAAATGGCGGCAGCCGGGTAGCTCCCCCATCGCCGGGGGCTCCTCGCTGCCATTTTCCGAGGGAAGGAGGCGTGGGTCGCCTGTGACAGGCGGCGGTGGGTGGGGGAGAAAAGCCGCCGCTGGGCCCCACTTCCTGCCCGTCCCGCCTAGCGGCTGTCCCCTTGCCCGCGGGCAGGCGCTCTGAAACCCCTCCAGCAGCAACCGCGCCGCAGCCCGGCCAGCTGCTCCCCGCCCGCCGGAAGTGGCGTCAAGCGGCCGCAGGCCCGGCCCAGGCAGCACCCGCACGGCCACGCCCCTCGCGGCGGGCCCCGCGCCGCCACCCGCCGCCAGTAGCCCCATCGGGCCTCCGCGGCCACTGCTTCCGCGCTTCCGTCCGCGGCGGCACCCCTCGTGCGGCGTGAGAGCAGCGCGGGAACCGGTCTGTGCTGGGGGAGCCGCCCCCGGCCGCCCGGCGCCGTCCGTTAGGGCAGGCCCCGCCTTTTCCGGGACTCTCTGGCTGGGCCACCGCCTCCTCCTCCCTCGCTCGCTCTCCCTTTTGTGAGTTATAGCAACCGTTGCCTTGTGAATCAAGCGCCATAGTCACCGTAGTCCTGGCGACTGTTACCCATCAACAACAACCGCACCTCTCCTGCTCCTCCTCCTCCTCCTGCTGCTGCTCCTCACCCCCTTCCTCATCGTCACCCACAACAACAACAACAACAGCCACCTCCAGCAGCAACGACAGCGGGAACACCACCACAGCCCGCCTCAGCCCAGGTGAATACGCTTGTCGGGCGCACGCTGGCCCTCCCTCCGCTCTCCCTCCCCCAGCCGCTGCCTCCCCAGTTTTCGCAGCATCCGGGCCGGGGTGCTCCCTTGGGCAGCGCCGTTGGCCTCGGCGCAGCGAGGGGTACGTGGGTCGCCCTCACGGCTCCCCCGCTTTTCCCTGCCGCCACCCTTCTCCGTCCCTCTTCTGTGTGCCTTTCTCCCCCCCCCCCCCCCTCACTCCCCGCCCCGCTGTCCCTGGGTGTACTTTGCGGTTGGGTGGGGAGTGCGTTCTTGAGAGGGGCGCTTGGGATGGGGGTGTCTGTTGGGCGGGGAGGGGAGCTGGCCGCTGTGCGAAGCGAGGAGGAAGAGTGGCTTGGCGGTGATGGGGACGGAGGCACGCTTCTGGGACCTCCAGGACAATTGCATGGATGCGGTGGGTATGCATCTTACTTGGTCTCTCGTTTGCATGGATGGGGGAACGTAGAAATTGGGGAACGAGGCTCCGGCCACAGTCTAAGGTTACTTACTTGAAACCCGAAAAAAACCGTGGGGTGGGAGGAAAGATGTAGCCAGACTCGGATCCTGTAGCACACCAAGAGGCAGGGGGTGTTTTTTGCTTTTTTACTTACAGGGGCCTTGTTCTGATTTGACGCGACTAATTGTTGCAGATTTTTGTAAACTTGCCGTGTCTTATAATGATACTCTTGTGCTATCGATCGTATTAATCACTTTTTTGTGCTTTATTTAGCCATGTATTTTTTCTTTTATTCATAATTAATGTTGCTGCTTATTTTAGTGCAAGCTGTATTTTCTTTGTATTGTGAAGCGTTTTTCTGCTTATTCAGTACCACCCCCACCCCCCATACACACACACAGAGCAGGAAGGGTTTTTTCCTTTCTGCACTCCTTCTGCAGGGGATTATTTTTTAAATGATGCTTCATACTGCCAGTGCATGTGCATATCTGGTTTATGCACAGTGAATTATGTTCACGTGTAGAGAATTTATTTCGTTTTCCTTAAACTCTCCACAATAAAGGAAATTCAGGATATTGACTGTGAGTTTGTGTGCTGAGCAACACAAAGAAGGGAGAAAACAAGAAACAGTACTAAAAAAAGTCTTTGTGATTTCATAATTGCCACTGTATTTCATGAGTACCTTTGGGAAAGAGGGAAGAGGCAACTTTTTACTTCTCAAGGAGCAGTAGTAGAAATTGTTATTAATGTGAATGGTTTACATTTGGTTTTTTGTTTTTAATCCAGAATGCTTGTTTTCTTCATCCTTTTTGTGTGCTTATTAAGATATCAAGATCTTCCTCATCAGTGATATCAAATTATACTTTATATACTTTTTAAATTCTGTGAGATGCAGTGAATTTTTGGCATCTATTATGGCAATGAAATTTTCTTATAAAATCTCCATATCCATGTTGCACTCTCCCCTTAGACTTGTAAAATCATGTGTGGCAAGCTGAATGACAGCTTGTTTATTTCCTTATTGCTTTATTTAGTAAAATAGGAAAAAAGATGGTTTTAATGTAAACCCTACATTATAATTGTATATACACTTTTTCTGGGTTTATATCTGTAGAAGCTGGTATAAAATGCAGGGTTCCTCACTGCAATTTCAGCAATAATGTATTTGTCTCACATCTGAACTACAAATGATTGTGACATGGGCAATTTTTCAAAGCAGCTATCAAACAAAAACCATGCTAAGCTGTTAGTGCACTGTTGATATGAATATTTCTTAGGCTAAGGCATATTGGATCTGTCTTGTCTTTTTTCTTTTTTTTTAATATATATTTCATGGGCCAGCAAGAACTTTGAAAATTTATTGTTTCAGTAATGACCAAAGGTTTCTACATCATCATCTTTTTGTGATTTCACTCAAAGATGAAACCACTGAGTACTGATTTTCTAGGTCTTGCTGTTAAATAAGCTCTAAAGAGAGTAAGAATTTTCAGTGGGACTTACAGTACTGCATCAGTTACATAGCACAGTTGAATCATAATGTATTTGTTATTTTATTGGGTAAATTATATGATTCATTGGTTGTAAAATCTTTCCTGGCCTTCTACTGTTGTTGAAAAGAGAGGATACTCATTCTGCTCCATGCCTATCTTGAGTAGCCCTCTTACAGCAGGACAGAGTACTACTTGGGAATGGAATCCTTCCTAGGCGTTGAATCTCTTTGCAGAACATGTATCCAGACCTGGTAACAATGGAAAGTGCATGTGTAGGCTATTAGACAAACTTTGTGTTTTTAACTTTGTGAGGAGACATGGATGTTTCTTAATAAATCAGATTAAAAGTATATGATTTTTGTCTAAAAAAAAAAAGACTTTTTTAGTACTATTTAGACATATGTTCCTTAGAAAATGACTGCAATTTGGAAAATAATTATGCAACTGTAATCACCAGCTTTAATGTTATGGACTTTACTGAGAAAAGTATTGACTTTTTGTTCTCTCTAAAATATAGTAATGATCATGAGATCTGCATTATGCATTCTGATTTCCTAATGCTATCAGTTATCAAATAGCTGATGCCTGTGATGGGAACCAGTATTTGAAAATGAGGTGGCTTCTGATTTATTTTTTTTTCCCCCATTGGTTTTCATGGCTTAGACTTTGTAACTGTCTAATTGTGTTTTAACATATCCTCATGAGCCAAAATGGATCATATGCTCTATTCTGTTATTACTGAGCTAACTCTACATTGTGCTACTCTGGAGAAACCTTTTCAGTAATGTAATGTTGATAAATGAAATGGAAATCAAAGATACAATGCTGTTGAAGAGTTTAAAGTCAGAGTGCTTTATTTGATAATTAGGTTTGGCTTTGTTAGCACTATCCTGTTTCTTGTTCCCACTTGATAGGGTAGTTTGCTAATCACAAAATTGTCTAAAGAATAAATTCTGTAATTTTTTTTTTTTTTTCATTTACTAAACTTTACATTGAGAAGGAAGGCTGTTAGTATTTTCCTCTCTTCTTGCTTGCAATGTAAGCAAGTGTCTAAAATGCAATAATCTTTTATCATTGCAGTTCTAGCTAGTGTTTCTATCTTCACTTTGTCCTCTTATGAAAGGTTTCTTTCCCTCTTAAGGTATTCTGAATTAGTTGTATTTTTACCTGCAGTAAAATGAGTAGGTTTTTAACAATATAAGTTTTATGACTCTTGAAGTCCTTTTTAAAAATTATTTTCAGCTGAAACAACATGTTATAAGTGCATCACAAATACAGAATAAAAAAGAAGCTTTCAGTGGTACTGAAGTGTCCTTGTAGTTGGAGTTCCATTTCAAAATCAAGCTCTTTGTTGAATGAATATTACAATACCAAAACAGTATGGTTTTGAATTATGAATGAAACTACTTATTTTATTACTAATAATGAGAGCTGAAAAATTAATGAGGCTTTTAAAATGAATAGGCTAATGCTTAAATCATGTTTTTCTGTTCACCACAAGTTTATTTACGTATTTCTGGTAACGTCCATTGTCAATTGCTACAGGACTTGTCTTTTCTCACAATCTGCCAGTATTCTGGAAATTTAAGGAGCTGTGCATATACTGTTTGGCTAAATCTAGTTTGTTAGGGACAGATGGCTGATTTAAACAGGTGTCACTTCCAGTTCTTGTGTGTTGTGTTGAGACTTCCAGAGGTTTACAAAAGAGCTGCTTAAAGCAGGTGGTGATCTCTGCTTTTGTGATTAGGAAAATGTACTTTTGTAGGAAATTATTTTCCCGGTGAGTAGGAGTGTTACAGTAGTTAACATGTCATATCAGAGTCTGAGGTGTTCCATATAGTATAATCATGTTATTTTTTAAATTCTGTTCTCATTGGACTTTTAAAGAGATGTGACTATTTGGGTGTAAAACTTAGCAGTTTGCAACTGTGTGATATAGTCCTAATAACTTGCTTGCTTTCAAAACCAGGAGCAGATATATTGCTTGATGTAACAATTTTTTTACTGAATTACCTTTTTTTCTTAAATAATGTTTGACTTTAATTTTAATAAAAATGACCTGTTAAGAATATAGGGTAAATTTCAAACTTCTTTTTTTTCCCCCACATTAGGACACCTGCAGTTTTCCTTTTTTAAAATTATTTTGTTCTTTAATAGTTATAATTTCCCCAGTTATAAAATATTTTAATAGAGACAATGAAATTTGATTTCTAATAATTCTTAGGCATTTCTTGTTTCTAAGATTTTCTTTTTTTTTTTTTCCTTTTCTTCTATAATAATGACCGGTGTTTATTCATAGTTGTTTTCTTTCTAAAAGATGCACCAGAGGGTGCTATACTATTGGAAATACAAAAAAGGAAAGAAAATGCTAAAAAATCTTTCTTTCAAATACACTGATAACATAGATGTGATTTGATTATATCTTATTTATTTCTACTTTTTTCTGTTCATTGCAATATATCAAGCTTCCTATTTTGGCATATTGTGCTAAAAAGCATGGGAGAAATTGGCTGTTCATAGGTGAGTATGTCTGTATGTGTAGGTACATATATAAATACACACACTTAAAACACAATCAATCTCTGTGAAAGAGAACAACTATTTGTATGTAAATTATGGCTATATAGCATATAGCTGAAATAGTGTATGCTTAATGAAGTAAATTATTGCTCATCTGAAAAGTTAGATGAACTTGAGAAACAAATGCCTTTTGGAGTGACTTTTATTATATGTTATATTTTTTCATTTATAATCTGTATTCACATTTTATGTAACTTGAACATTTATAGCTGAATTACTTTTAAAAAATGATTGCTGCTTATAGTTGTTTTGTTTTGTTTTTTCTTTGTTGCTGGAATTCTTCCTGGGTGAAACTGAGGTTGAAGTTTACTTGTTCACTTCCAAATTGCAAATGACACATGAGCTCTAGTTGATTAGGATAGGTTTCTCAATTGATCATCAGTTATGGGAAAGGAAAAAAACCAACAACCCCACTAAAAACCTCAACCCCCCCAAAAACAAAACAAAATAAAACCCAGCAATAA